AGAATTGGAGCTAGGGGTGATAAACAAACCAGGGGCCTTACAGGGACCTCTGGCTCGGCTCGTGAAGGCCTGAACCTACATGTTTGAAATTGGATATTGAAACTAGCCTTGAACTTGTATAAAAGCTCGTTTAATAAAAAGGCCTGAGGCTCCAATTCAAAAGCTCGACCTTGGAGCCTCTCAGGCCGACCTAGTATACTAATTTTTATTGTTATTTTATATTTTTTATACTACTTGTAATAGTTTCCTATCTCTCCTCAATCCACTTCACTCCATTTTTTTGGTTAAACAGACTTTTTGAATAATTTTGTTCTATATTATGCTGTTTGGATATACATTGAATTTATGAATATTTATGGAATTACTAGTGCTGTTGATTGTATATTCTGTTTGGATAAATTTTTGTTGTCTTATTTTTTTTTAAACAGGCTAACAGGTCAAACCAGACTTTTATTTTTTGTAAATAAGATAGGCCAAGCCGATAATTATATTCGTAACAAGTAACAGGCTAGGTCAGGCTGACACATTTAAACGCAGGCTTAGCCTTTTAAGATCAAAGCTCGGTTCGGCTCGACCCGTTAACACTCCTAATTGAAGCCATGGACCAATTTTTACTTTCATTTTATTAGTTTGGATAGAAAGTAAATTAAAAATTAACTTTCAGCTAAGGGCTATACTTTCTATTATTTATTGGGTTTATAATATTCTTTATTTTAAATTAATTTAATATATTTGTTGTTACTTTCCATTTATAATTTGCTTTCATTTGCATTTTTTTCTTGCAGTTATTAGAAGGGCGAAAGAAAAAGATATAAAGTATACATATTAACAGAATTCCGTTACCAATTAAGTCATTTCTTTTTACCGAAAAAAGAAGAAGTCATTTCTAATTTTTTTTGTTTTTTGAGAATTAACAAGTGGCTAATAGTAAAGTCACTTTATTAGTTAAAACTTAAGAACATGAAATTTAAATTATAATTTAAAATAAATCACAAAATGAAGATAGCAAACTCAATACTGGGAAATATTTGTAACATTTTTTTTTTTAATTTACAATGATGACATTAAAATTTAAACCTAAGGAAATGCCAGTCTACAGAAACAATAGATAATCAACAAGACTGCAGAGGATTCACCAAAAACTCTGTTCCATCAACTTGACAAACTCATTGAGGTCAATTAATTCATCTCCATTTTGATCAACTGCATTAATCATTTTCTGACATTGCACAAAGTCTTTCTCCAAACCCAAACAGCATAAGACCCTCTGCAACTCAGTGGCATCTACAAACCCATCTTTGTTTTCATCAAACACATCGAAAGCTTCCTTCACCTCTTCCAAGCTGGCCTCATTTTCTAACATCTGAGCTATTTCTTGTTCACCAAACTCTTCTATTCCATCCCCACCCTTTTCGACATTTATTCCAAGCTTTTCCATCACCACAATGATTTCTTCTTTGCACAGTCTTACACCACTTTGAATGCACTTCAAACTCTGCTTCACTGGTTCAGGATTTGAGTAACTTTTAGGCCTGCTCCAAACCTTCCAAATCTGTGAAACACAGTTCCACAAACACTGTAAAGAAAAAAATAAAATTGAGAGGAAACCTTTAATTCTAATATCGCAAAGGAGAATTCTAAGACACAAAGATAATCCAGATATATTTATGTTGCCAGATATTTTCTCCATTTCACAAAGATGGCAGTATCCCTGAGGACTGAACTTATTGCAGATGCTGGAATTCTTAGATATATTTATAGCAAATAAAAATGATGACCCTTCAGGAGCTTCAACTAGAAGCGTCAACACAGAACTTTGCTGCTATGTTTCCCTGAAACAAGTGTACACTTTATAATTAGCGCTACCATTGGGAATTGGGAGAAAAATAAATAAGACTCATGATTAGCATGGTGGGACATATGTTGGAGGTTACTTCAACATTATTGGAAGTTATAGGTTTGAGAAATAAAGATTTACATTTACTTGAAATTTTACATCAATAGGCGAGAGCCGTTAGATTTAAAAAAATAATTTAGTAATACGAAGATCTCTCGTAATACCGAAGACTCGCTACATTTTTTACTAAATATGAAAAAAGTAATATAATTGATTTTCCCCATTTTATCCACCCTTTTTATGGTTATTATCACCTAAATTTTACTTTTTTTTTAGAAAATGAGTATATACTTTTGTAGATTTGTAATGTTCAACGGTGTTACTTCTAACTTGGAGAAAACTTTATTAGATAATGCAAGTTTTTTTATCTCGAGCTCATATGGACTCAAATAATCATATTTTTACCTATTAAATTTGTATATGAATATATTATCAATACATCTATTAACATAATTTTTTTTTCCCTTTAATTACAAACCGAGAGTGAAAGAATGTGCAGCTGAAAAGTAGTGATATTCATATTAATGATTTTACTTTAATAGCTCGTATACTGTAACTAATTCAATCCAATAATTCAAGCTTGTAAGTGATGTTGATATTAATAATTTTATATTAATATTTCTAACTGCAACTTCTATGAAACTCACGTAGGATGAAGAGAAAAACATGGGAGATGACTAAGAAAGGAGTATGAAATGAAAGAGAAATTGACTATGAGCTTTCGTGTTGACTAAGAAAATATGAAATTGTAACGTGTTTGTACGTGTATCTTGAGACGTACGTGTTTTATGATTTCATATTTTCATTGATTTATAGAAAAATACGGAAAAAGACGAAAGCAATAGGTGCTTTTGTTGCACGATATGAAAGGTTTCAGAAGCTAAAGTGCGGTCTCGTGTTGGAAGGGAAATTGTGAAACTCCCACGAAATGGTAATGAATTATTCTCTGCAGCTAAGGCTGTCCTCAAAATTAAAGGCAGTGGTGTCCTTTTTTTGGGGAGTATATCTAGGTCTTTGCGCCTATTTTGCTTCATTGTAAAATTTCTGTTACGTAGGAATTGCTTTGATATAGAGGCGACTTTTTTTTTTTTTTTTTTTTTTCCATTCAAAAAAAAAAGAGGCGACTTTTTTTTTTCTTGGTATAATAAGGAAATACATATTAGAATCTATAACTTTAGACATTATATGTAAAATACCAAAACCGTACTCTGTTTGCTCCTTTTTAGTGACTTTTCTATAATCACAATCAGAGAAGACTTTAAAGTATTGATTTAGCAAGTAAGGGTCAAAATTCTTAGATTGTAAAGTTTAAGTTTGATTCCCGCTACACTAACAATATCTTTTGTTAAGCAATCTATAATTACTGGGGTATAGCTTGTAACATGTTTTGGCTTTAGAATGATATATAGCTTCCTCATCCATTTATACTTTTATTCGACAAAAAAAGGAAGACTAAAAATATTGAAAACAAATTATTAAGAAAGACGTTTGCCTAAATGACTTTCCTCAATCCAAAATTATTCTACTATAAATCAAATAATTTAGTAGTATAATTTTGGATTGTTGATGTTATTGTAATTATTATTAAAGATAAAAATAGTTTCTTCTTTTTGAACCACACAACATAAAGAATAACTTCGTTAGTAGGGGTGTAAATAAGTTAGGCTAGGCTTTGATTTAAATAGGTCAGGTATGTGTTAAAAATATTGGGTCTGACCTGGCCTATTAGTCTGTGAAAATCTCAAATTATATGTCTGACCTGATCTATATTTAAAAAATAAAAGCCTTGGTCTAAGCTTGTTAGCCTATTTAAGCCTATTAAACGTTTAACAATTAAAAGAATAACTAAAATAATATTATTTTATTATTCAAAATTATTAAAATAATAATTTTATTTAAAATAAATAATATGATATAGGTCAGCCTGTAGGTTTATAGGTCCAACATGTATAAAAAGATCTATGATCTATTTTCTAAATAGGTTTTTTAAAAAATTTAGACCTAGTCTATTTTACTATTTGTAATAGGCTAACCTAATCTATTTACACTCCTCCTTTAGTTGAATTGACATATGATATGTTATAAGTCGAGATTTTTTTGTTTTATCGCCTCGGAGTTGATAATGTTGATTAACGGACCATCAGCATGTTTTTTTTTAGTTACAGCCATGGACCTTCGATCTAAAAATGAAGACTCCGTAGCATAGGCATTAAGGCCCAAATGCTCAATGAAAGTATATGCAAACCTTGAACCCAGTTCTTTTGGATGCATATATGCAAACCTATGTCATGTGTCGTTTCATTGATAAACATATGTGTTGTTTCATTTTTAAATGGACGTGTCTTTTCAATCGTAATCCTTCATTTTTTATAAATAAATAGAGAATCAGAGTTTTAATAATAGAGTTTTTTTCTTTGCATTTCCATTCCATTATTCTAGTGTAATTGATCATTATTCTAGTGTAATTGATCACACATAGGTTGAGTTCGATGAAGTTATTCTCTGTGAAAGTGTCACCATAAGAATAGAGATAATTTGTTTTATTCTGGGAGAAAATTGTCAACGAATCTTGAGTGCCATAGAGAAGGCAATATTATCTTAAGGACATAGTGTCTAACATTGAACTCAGATTTTTCTTTATTGTATTTACATATTTCTGTACGGTACGCTTTAATTATGTATTATTGCATGTTTTAATTTTTTGTGTGCATTTCATGAAATTGTGAATATTATCCAAATGATTTCTCTAAGACAAATTAATCCCTCTCAATGATGTTATAATCATTTATTCTAACATGTTATTATCAGTGTTTTAAAACCCCGTCCCACCCCCCGGGTTGACCCGGGTCAACCCTGACCCCTCCCCTCTGAGGGTTAGGGTCACAAGTTGGACCCTATATGCATATCGACCCCTCTGACCCCCAAAACCCAGCCGATTTCAGTGACTCCCGGGTGTAACACCCCGTATATATCCGGTAATGTTATCATAATATCGTATTAAGCTGCGCTTAATTAAAATGCGGAATTACTTTTTCTTTTCAATTATGGTGTCATTAACATTATCAACTTGCTTAATAATCAATTAATTAAACATCGCCTGTATGTAATTGCAATAAAACAGCTAACTGAAATACCTCATAACATAGATAATATAAGTGTGGCTCTAGTCACGGAACTACAACAACGTAGACCCGACCATCTAACAGTTTATACAACTCCAAACTACAAGTACTAACAGAAAGTGTCATGGACAATCCCTCTGCTCACTCAAATAAGGCAACATGCCCAACATCAGTCTCAACAACAACATATCATAAATAGCGGAAAACATAAACAGCATCCAAATCCAGTCATGCTAACATATAAGCAGAAACAACATAATCAGCTAAGCTCCGGCCTCCTGCCGCCTGAGGCATCAGTACCCATACTACCTGATACTGAAATAAGCATTCCCCAAACGTGGGGTAAGATCTCTAATCTAGAAATCTCAGTAAGTCAGTGAGTCCTTAAGGATCTTCCACCCCAAGCTCACTTACATGTGCAATATAAGTTCAAAAACAGTTTATCATTTATCATTTCAAAAACAATGCAATGCAGCAGATAATCATGCCATGTGTGTCAATACTAATCTACTGGCCAGAGACAATGCATGTATACGTCTATCACCTACACACCGTGCAAGTACCACTTGCATTCACCCCGGTACACCATCTTGTATGGCGCTACATACTCAGGCTTCCCGTCAAGATGAAACAACACATGCATATTAAAAGCCATTACATGTAAAGTTCAATCAACATATCAAATATCCAAAAGCATGTACACAACATGCATAAACCATACCCCCATGGGACATGGTGGAACCACAACATGGCTAAACCGAGGACACGAAAGCTTACCTTGCAAGCTAACCCCAAAAGCCAAGAGTCCACAGCTCAAAATCCAAACACAGCAGATTCACAATCTGTTATGGACCAATACTATATCAATAATAATGCAACACAAGCATATAACTTAAAGACAACGCCTTTCCTTACGTTTTACGTCTTAAGGCTCCATACTAGGCCATAAGTCCTTAATCACAACGATTCTGACTTAGTTCATTAATTACAGAAGTTCAACTTCATCAATCTAGGGTCCACAAACCCCCAATAGCCTACTGTACACACAGCACAGCTACTGTTCTACGAAATTCCAGAATATCCGGATATTCCTCGGGACCATATCCGGATATGCAATATCCGGATATCTCACTGGACATATTCGGATATGCAATATCCGGATATCCTGAATCCCATATCCGGATATCTATTATCCGGATACTCAAAATCCATATCCGGATATCACATATCCGGATATTCATCGGGCACATATCCGGATATTTCACGACAGAATGCAGAAAATGCATTTCGTGAAGATATCCTTCCAAGGTTGGGTTTTTACCGATTTAAAGTACCTAAACATGCATTTCTAGGTGTGTTCAACATTACTCAACAACAAGTTATCATCTTTAAGCCTTAACATGCATCAAGCTTTCATTTTTAAGCATTAAACTCATGATCAAAGGTTGGTATACATACCAAAGGCTTAAAACAGAGAAAGGAGATTCTCTTGGAGCTCAACACAGCCCCTCAAGTCTGACTCAAGGAAGATGCACGAAAATGGCTTCACAAAGGTTGGTTCTTCTCACCAAAGGTCACCACTTGGACCTCAAAATGCCATAACTATGGCTTTCAGCACCCAAACCACCCAAAACCAGCACCCTCACCCACACACAGAGGATGAAAACTCAGAATACACCCTTACACTTCTTCACCATGCATGTTCTTAAGTGTATACAAGCTCAAAGAGGGAAGAAATCAAGTAAATGTGACAACTTGAGTTCAAAAATGGTGAAAGGAGGCAATGGAACAGTAACCCACCCTCAGCCCACCAAGTGCTTCACGTAGAAATTCTGGTATGCCTAGGGTTATGTGCTAAAATGCATATATATAGCCACTTAGCCATAAACACACAGTATTAACTTTAATTTCTACGCTTAGCATTTTAATCCCAAACTTTGGATTATGAACCTACATAATTTTCTAAGATTTATCATATTTTTCTTATAATTTTCTGAGCACCTTTCCGGTACGCGCTTTTCCAAGCTACTACCGGTTTCTAGCACCAGTTCTCATTATCTGGACTTGAAACTCGTTTTACAAGTCCTACATATTATTCTAGTAATTATCATGCACTTACATTAATTTTCCGGGATACTTTTTCGGCACGCATTTATACCGACTAGCAGAACCGGTATCTGCACTTTTCTTCCGAAAAACGACTTTTAGCATTCTTAATCACTTATTACGATTATCAAGCCTCATAAATAATTATTAGGGTCAATTATGGAATCATTTCCTATTTTCTCGTAATTTATTAATTAAATACCTTAATTAACGGTGCATGTTCTTACACTGGGTCAGAGGGGGTCATTGCATGTTTTTTTTAAAAAAAAATATTTCATGAAACAACATTGTTTTATTAAAAAAATAAAATAAAAATGCTTGCAAACCTAAATCTAATCGTTCTCTTCTCTCCTAGTGACCTAGACGTTTTCAATCTTCACCTCGTTGCCGTGAATCTTCTAGAAAAGATAAGAATTTTACCCATTCAAATGAAATTCTTACGAGCGTCGATGGAAAACAAAACTCATTCTTACTTCTTTTAAATTTTCTTTGTCAGAGACCTTCTCAAAAGAGGCAGAACCAGGTCAACATAGTGACCCCATTAGAATATGAATTTTGTACTTTGGTATTTTGATACTTTAATTAGGTTATGTAATATTGACTTGTGGTTATAATTGGTGAATTATGTTAAATATATTTTGAATCTTTGGGATTGATGGTTTGTTTTTTAATATTTTCATATAGGATATATATATTTATATTTTTTTAGTATATAAAACCGGGTCAGCATAGTGACCCCCCGATTGAACCCGTGACCCCGTGACCCCTGACCTCGGCCGGGTCGATGGCCGGACCGAGTTTTTAAACACTGATTATTATTACTATAATTAATTTGGCAAATGGTAAACAAGTACGTTATTTTCTTTTTGGCGTTAGGAGTTGTTGGGCCAAGATATGCTCTAGGTAATGTAAGAGCCAAAGTGAGGAGCAAATGTTATAATTGAGGAACAAATTCCCAAATCATGCAGTGTATGAGCGTTTGGTAGAGAAGAAATTTATTTTTTATCCAGGAATCTCAATTTTTAAAAATATAATTGTTACATTCAGTTTATGATAATATCCAAAAATTTAAAATTTAAAAAAATTCAATTTTTCGAGAATCCTAAAAAATACTGCGTATCAAACGGTCCCTAAGTAATACATTGTTCAAATGAGCCCCAAATTATCATTTTCAACTGTGTAAAAGAAGCGTTTCAATTAAAATAATTACAAATGAAATAAATGAATTGACTGGGAATAAAGTAAAATACAAGTATATACTTTTTTTTTGTTATATACTTGTCAAAATATTATCAAGTGAAACAACTCATATTTTTCACTCCACACTCTGACCCACATCTAGGACTTTAAATAGGTTTATGAGAAAGTTTAAATATAGAGAAGCCCCCTATTTAATACCATTTTGATGAAGCCAAAATCAAGACATGCTGGTAGATTTAGAGCCCAAACAGAAATATAGGCCCTTTCTAATAGAAACAAAGGGAGAGGAGCAAACAGGAAAAGGAGGGCAAAAAGTGTGGGCCAGACAGAAAGGCCACAACTGAGTAATGACATCACATGAACTGGGTCCCTCAACAGCAACATGTTCATAAAAACTTGTGGCCTCCTGCCCTTGATAGCAGCTGTGAAGTATCTATGTGCTTCTTGCCTGACTCGGATTTCAGAGACACTTGTAGACAATCTGAACTTGACAAATGCCTATCCTTTAAAAAACAAATAGAAGTTAAAAGTTGCTTTAATTAACAACTTGTCCTGGCTCACAACTAAAGGAAAAGAAGAAAAAGTAAGGAAGAATAAAAGAAAGGATAAAAAGATAAAGTTAGGTAGCTCCAACTTGTCTTTTTTGTTTTGGATTCTATGGTAAATGTTTAGACTTTGGTGACATTTAGTGATCCTCTTATTTTTTTTTTCTTCTTCTTATAATTAGAAGCAAAGAGATTTTGAAAAAGTTCATATAATAAAAAATTCTTTTTTATATAATGAAAACAAAATTAAAAGTCAAAATCTCTTAAAAAGAATTTTTTGTAAGCTCTTATTAGATTTTCTTGAATTGTGTATTTTTTTAAATGAAAAACTATAGAAATAAAAAGAGAGAGAAATAGGCATTTTTTTTTTTTAAATGTGTGCTTTTAAGCTAAATTTTTTATATAATAACCAAATAATTTTAAATTTTTTAAGCTCTTTTTTGACTTTATATTAAAAATAGCTTTTACCTTAAAAAAGAAGAAGATGATTCATACATGCTCTTTTTACCACGTACAACAATATGTTAAATATGAATTTGACACAATAGTGTATGGTAAAAAAACTGGAATTCCACATCAATGTAGAAGAAAGCAGAGTTGTTTACCCACTCTTCACAGCTTGTACTTTTTATTATTATTAGATATATTAAACTTTTATTGTAATTAGTTATTAAGCTAATTAACATTTTAATTTTATGGCTTTAATGTTTCTAAAGTGAATGTAGATAAGTTATTTACATTTGCTCTCAAAATGACGTCCGTTTTAAGTTGAAAAATTTAAAAATTATAATAAAAAAACTATTATAACCCTGAAATAAATTATAATTATAAAAATACCTTACATTTCACGTCAAAACAATATCATTTTGAATTCAATATAAATAAATTATCTACGATGTAAAAAAAGTGAACCCTAATTTTATATTAGTAAAGTTGAATAGACTCATTCATAGTCTCATCCATCGGGAAAAAAAAGGTACTGGAGTTTTAGATAAATCTGGCCCACCGTTCTCTGGTGTCGTTTATCTAGAATGCAAGAAGAGTTATTGTTTAATTCTCTTTGCCCTTTAAAATCTGGTTTCCTCGCGAAATGAAAACGACAGAACAGTAACCAACGACGGTCACCGAAGAGGATTTTAGACCAGCAAAGATGATTAATAGGAAAGATGAAAATGAACAAGCACATTAATATCTTTCTTGGTCCAACGTGATTTTGTGTGTCTATGAAATTTAGTGCAGAAAAACTTGGGTCAGTTTTTGTTTATTTATTAATTATTTTCTTTTACTACAACAGCTCAGACTGAAAAGTAGGAGGAAAGTGAAGTTATGGTAATGTATCACCAGGAACGGCATATCCCACTAACGAAAGGTTGGCATATTGCAGCATCAACACCTAACTTTCTGTTGCTGGGTCTATGAAGATTGAAAGTGACCTTGATGTAAAAGAATGGAAAGTTATTAACTTTGTCTTTTTTTGAGATCTTTGAAATAAAAAAGTGAAAAATGTTTATACTTTAAATGACGTAATTTATATTTTTTTACTCTCACAAAGAAGTGAGACTCACATCTTTATATTTTTTTTTCCAATCTCTCTCCTTCTTTATCTATCTCTTTCTCTCACCTAAAATGACACAACTTTTCATCCTTCAAAATCATACACACTTTTTCCAATAAAGCATACCCATCAAATTTCCATTTTTATAATTTTCACAAAATGGCACTTGTTAATTTTACCCACTTTATTTTCCTTATGGATTAAATATTGGAAAAAAGAAATACACAATTTTTTTTCTCTTCATTTCTTTAATCCCAATATATTTTTCCTTTTTTTCTTTATTCCCATTCTTTGTCAATACTGTATAATAAGTAAGTCTAGCCATATAATTTAGCCCCTCCATTGTGGTACGATAGTCACATCAATAATTTTTTTTAACACAAATTTATTAGAGAATAGACCCTCAAATTCCATGCTATATATGAAATTTTTGTGTCTATTTCTTTTTACATGCATTAAACAAGTGGTGTTCACTTATTATTAATAAAAAAAGAGATAGATAAAAAAAATTTATAATATGAAGTCATGAAATTTTTACGTAAGAGAATCCATTATCAATTTACTAACAATCCAATAACTTTTTTTGTGTGTGTAAACTTAAGGGTATCCTAGAGCCGTAATCGAAGACTTATCCCTATCGCGCATTGTTGGACCTTTTCGGGATAACTCTTCTAAATCTTTTTTTTCTTCTTCATTTTCAAGACTCGAACTCGAAACCTCTAATTAAGGATCCAGACCTGCAATCCAATAACTTTATATGTAGTTGAAACTAGAAAGTTTGTGTATACAGAGGAATAATGCTTGCAAATCATTAAGGCACACATCTGCTTACATTGGGATAGGTGATGGAATTTGATTGTAGGAGTGTAAAAACCGAGATAAGAGAGATTAAGGTAGACACAGTGGATACATGAGTTAATATTGCGGAAGTATATGGATTGTTATTTTGCAAAACTGACGTTTTCTTTTTGAATAAGGGAACTGATAAACCGCAAGAGAAGGGAAAAAAAAAACTTACACAAATATCATAATCCTTTGAGACTAACATTATTAAAGTAGAGAATCTCCAAAAAAGTAACAACAGGCTTCCAATGAAGACTTACAAGTTTATTGCAAACCATTGGATTTTAGTCCAAGAATCTCCTTTCTTTTCACTTTTCTCCTTGTTGTTTTCCTTGTCTCATATATTTATATCTGTACATCAAGATATTTACTCAACAGATTATCTAAATCTGCAGCAAAGCAAAAACACATGTTCACTTAGACAGGCTCAAGATGGCAGCTAGGGAAACTAAAGTACAACACTGTTGTCCTAGGAATCGTGCATAGAGGTTGGTCAACAATACAACTTCTCGTGTAAAAGCTTGAACTTGTCAACAAAATGAGATTGCACTGGTATAACCTCAATTTTCATTGCAATGCATAAACACAATGAGAATCTGACGTAGCTCACTGTTATTCCCAATTAGGTTCCCTCATGGAAGGTAAGAGACCGCGATAAAGCTGCAGGGTTAGCATGCAGCATCGGTGATGCTTCAACCATGTGATTCATGTCGTTACCCTTGGATGGAAATGCCTTGAAAAGTCCTCCTCCATTTAGAGAATAGACCTTGTCATTCTTGATCCCTAGTGTTGACCATATGGAACTCTTTGCAGCTTCACCAGGATCATCAATTCTAAGAGTCTTGGGAATCAAGACGTTGCTTTCTGAATTGTTATGCTCTATATCTGACTTTTCTTTCTGTGAGTTGGTTGTGGTGATGATATTCCCATCCCTCGAGTGTTTTCCCAAAGTAGGTGAATTGGGGCCAGAACTAGGGGAAGAGACAGAGTGGTTAACAGAAGACTGGGGTGATATACATGATATATTCCAGGATTGTGGCATACAACCCCAATATGCAGGTGTGGTATAGAATGATAAAGGATATCCTGCAGGGAAAAATGCAGGAGGAGGCATTGCGGAATTCCACTGTGCCGAATTTGGAGGATAAGGCCAGGGTGAACTTGGGAAGTAGGGAAAATGAGGAGGTAAACCTTCAATTCTTTTATCCACTGATTCAAGTGAGCCAGTATGGCCTCTCCTCTCTGATGAAGTTGAAGTTGTAACAGAAACTCCAATAGAGTGATCATCCTCATCAACTTCCCTACCATAGGAAACAAAAGTATTCGGCTCAGGTGCATGAAACCCATTTAGAACACAACTTTGAGTTTTCTCAGCAATGTTCAATGCAGAAGCCATGCTATCACAGAGGGGAGAATCTGGACCAAAGGTCAAGACAGCTGCTCCATTTCTCAAAACAGCATGATGTAATCCATTGGGGGCATTGAGTTTAGCTGCTTGAAGTGCCTCCGGCATCATTATGTGACGATAATGTGAGGCACAAGAGTTCTTGTTCTTGCGGCGACCAGCGCCTACAGGCACATTTCTCATTGTTCCTCCTGCAGTCCAGTATCTTTGACATTTCTTGCAGAAATGACGGGGCTGATTGACATTGTAATTGTTATAATAACAGAATTTCGTGTCCATGCTATTGCAGCGCGGGCACGGAAGTACCTTGTCAGGTTTCTTTGGAGTTTTTTCTTCTGAAGCACTAGTCTCACTTTGTTCTCCGTTTGTAGAGGATTTCGGTAATGAATTCTCTGTTTCAGCTGAGGGAGTCTTAGGATTCTCAAATATGCCAGAAGATGTTGTAGGAGATTTTAAATTATCTGTGGTTTGATGAGAGGCATCATCATCATGTACTGAGGTGAGTTCTTTCCTTGATGGTTCCTAAAACAACGAACAAGATTAAGATAAGAAATACTAATTTACTATAGCTACAAAACACTGAACTCAAAAACCTCAATTCAAGAAAAATAAAAATAATATGAAACACAAAAATTATATGGGTATCTATTATTTAAACACACAGAATATATATTGTTAGTATAGAATATCTCATATGTTATGACATACAATTTTTGCACGACACATGTTATGACATAGTACAAAAATAGAAGCATTACACAACCATTAATTTCAAATTTGATTCTATTTTTCTTTAATTTATTGACTCTCATTCAACATATGCAATATCTTGGAAATTTTAAGCACAAAGTGAAAGTAGAGGTCACAGAAGGTAAAACGGGAGAAATTATTATCCTTCCAAGGATTATTGTATGCTTTGTTTAATGAATGAAGATGTTCACGTGATAGTGCACTGTGGATAATGAATAGAACACTTCAGCACGAAAATCCCCATGAGATTTTTCAAGTAAAGCAAGAAATGAAAAACAGAATTATAATTCTAGATTAGTAGTAGGAGGCAACGGTTTCACGGAGAAACTAACAATCCAAAAAAAATTATCTATGGTATTTGCAAATTTTATACCAAATTAGCAGGAATAAAAGCAAAGAAAGTTCTGGAATATAGGGGGAGAACGAAATTTAAGAGTATTAAACAGTTGGACAATAAATAAAATCAATATATTCTATAAATAATTCCTCTATAATGTCATGAGGTTACAGATCATAATATGGACTTGAATACGGACAAAAGTGTCAAACCAAATAGTTTAGCTCCAATTAAAGTCAATGGCGTGAAAAGCAACGTCATAAGAGTTTATTAAAGCAAGAAATATATCGAGAAATCTTCAAGCCAACGAAATAGCAATAGAACTTCCGCGATGCTGCGAGAGATCCAGAAAAAAAAAAATACAAAAAAGAAAAAAGAAAAGAAAGAGGAAGACTTTCTATTTTCTGTTGACCTTGCTAATGAACCGGTTTAGGATAATATTTTCTAAATATGAATCAGTAGAATTAGAAGACTCACTTTTGAGTAACAAAGCAAAATCATTGACTCACCAATAGAGTTGATAAAACCAAAGCAAAGCAAGCCAAACCACATAATATATTCTTAAACTTATATTCCAGAATAGATTGGATCCAATTTCGCTGATAGGAACCCCATAATGAATTGGAGCCACCACTTAATAAAAGATTGAATAGATTCAATACCCAGCTGTCATCACGCGAAACATTTCTAATATTTTCATAATAAAAAAATAAATAAATCAAAATAGCCATAGAAAAATTGCAGCAAGGCCTCAATTCAATTGGCACCATGACAAGAAGAAATCTTTTTCGAGATTTGAATGAACCCATTAACAACTGAGAGCTTCTGAGAAATGGGTTGCTGTTAGATTTGAAAAACAACAAGGTTTTTTTCATGGCGAATCATACCTCTGCTTCATGTTGTGTTGCAGAGTTCACTTCGCGCGGTGAAGAGGAAGATGAAGGATGAGTAGCAGGTGCAGGAGGGTCATTGGGGATGAGTGGCAGCGAAATTGTTCTCCCAAACAGCTTTATAGCCTCCGACATTTCTGTGTTATAGATCAGGTTCAGGAATGTCTCTCTTATCTTAGCTCCTTCTCTTTCTAGAAAAAAAAGAGAGGAAAATGAGGAAAAATATATATAAATACATACATACAGACAGACATATAGATATATAGAAGTTATTGAAGTGTTTGTTCAGTAGTACCTTTTGTTGTCTTTTGCTCTGTTAATTCATATGTGAAAACGGATAATGAATAGTGATGCAGCAGAGAGAGAGAGAGAGAGAGGAGGGGGAGGAATGGATGTAGTGGTTTAGAGGTACTTTTAAAAGGTTGGGGAAGAAAAATAATTGCCACTTCAGCAAAGTGGAAATTTTGTGAGCCACAAATTCATGTGGCCTGTGAGATCTTTGTGCGATGTTGGATTCCCCACATTGCTTGTAAAGATAGTGCTGTTCTGTCCCACACTTTTTCATCCATGTCAGCACATTCATTTTTGCTTTTTCGTCGTTAACTCTTCTAAAGTCTTTTTTTTTTTTTGGGTACAATAGTAACTATACTAAAGTCTTCTTTTTTCCCCCCTTCATATGGTCAAATTGGTTCCCACCCTCCATTTTTGACCCTGACCTGTTTTCTTTCTTTGCCAATTTCATCCTCCTAATCCTTAATTTTCAGTTTTATATATAACGTAAACAATGCATAATATATAATATAATTATATATGATCATCGTCTTCTTCGATAAAGTAAAATAGTTATTAATTCTTACGTACATATTAAATTAAAGTATACTCTATTAAAAATGAAGTTTAATTTTTAATAAATCATAATCGTTAGATGTATGAAAATTAATATATTTAAAATTAAATATAAGATTTATTATTATTACATCAATATAAAAATTATGCCCAATATATATATATATATATATATATGTGGATCACGATCATTTTACATTCTTAATTTTGACCGTTAATCTTATAAATAAAATTTTTTATACAAAATTTTGTTCATTGATTTATTTGAATCTAACGATTCACATATTTTATAAATTAGAGCAGTTAAATATAAATCAAATCAAGAACACATGTTACAAACTTCTTAACTACGTTACAAAATTACTAGCAATCAAAAAGTATCTCCAACAGATGATTTCTGGATCTCTTGAACAAGTTTTAGAGCATGTGGAGCTTTTGTGATTTGAAAAACTCCTCCTGCTCTAAAACTTGTTCAAGATTTTTTATTTTTTTTGGAAATATTTCATCGGTTCATCGCTTCGCGACTAGTCCGATTCGGGGCGGGTCCAGCCTTAATCCTGGACCCGCCCTGAATCGGACTAGTCGCGAAGCGATGAACCGATGAAATATTTCCGAAAAAAAAAATGCCGCTATATTAAGGTTTGCTACATAAAACTGAATATCTTTTCAGACCTGTTCTCCAATAATGTCTCAGTTCTTTTTATAGAAAAGAAAGCTCGTCTTACTTTATCTTTTGACATTGTAGCACCTAACTAGATAGCAATTGCATCATTCACCTTTGGCCAAAGAGTTTGAACCCAAACACGATCATGGTTTTCTTCGGTAAAGAGTTTGGAGAAATAATCATTTACTACCCTTACAATGCTTTGATCTTCTCTCACCAAATTTCCAGCTTCATCTTTCAACTCCAGTATTTTACTCCTTCTACGTCTAACAATTGTTTTTGTATGATAGTACTTGGTATTCCTATCTTCTTGAACTATCCAGTTAGCACGTGACTTTTCAACCGATGATTTTCTAAATATTTTCTAAAATGTAATTATATGATATGGGTTTGCTGAGATTACAAATAAATAAATTGTATTTAATATTTTAGTATACCAACTAACTAAATCAAACTTGTCATAATTTTTTTTTTTTTGGAGTAAACTTGTCATAAATAATGACTTCTGTAAAATGAACCCAAAAATATAGTATTGATAGAGAAGAATAAAATCTTAGGAAAAATATCACAATGATCAAGGAATCAAATATTGGTAGTTTTGACAAGTATACTATATTAAGAACATGTTATAAAATAAAGGGAAAAAATACATATGAAAGATCAAGACACAGGAAATATGAACTCTTAGGAAAGTATGAGATGTCACTAACTGTTCTACTTCTTTCTTCATAGGAAAGCATATCCTTATACATGATTCCATGCATACATATAGAGTGGGATTGCACTTCATAATATATATACATTATTTTATATAATAGTAACTTTTAATTAGACACATCAAATATCATAACTATAAACCCTTACCAAAGGCACTCTTAATATGAAATCAAGACTGTAATCCATTACATCCAAAACATGAACGTCTTACAAGAGAACACACATTGAAGTATACTCTTATTTGTGAAATTAACTGATCACCATAATTAATATTGATGATTTTGGATTTAGGTATAGAAGTGGCAATAAATAATAAGTTTAATTTTAATATACTGATATAAACTGAATACTTAAATAATTAGTTTATTTAAGAATAATAAATAAATATTTAATAAAAGATATCTGAAGAAAATTAAATAAATTAACTAGAGAGTAGTGACAAAAAAGAAAAGAAAAGAAAAAGAGTGAAGATACTACTTACTAGCTATAAGCTCCCAAAAATGCAAAATGTCAATACCATCGGTAATTAAAGCCATATGTGTTCGTAGGTACGGTGAGAAAGCTTCTGAGACATCTTTGGTGACTCGGATTCGAATAATGATTAATCGTAACTGGTAAGTTCACTTTATTCATATACTAAGGGAGGCCAATTGTTGTGCCGACTACCTGATGAACCTCCTGCTAGACTGCTCGGATATAGATAATGATTTTGTCTTCTCAAAAGTTCTTCCTTGATTACTCTTGCTTTTGCTTGCGAGCCACTCCCAGATTGAGGGGTGACAATTGATTCTTTTTTTTCGTAAGCTTTTCTTCATGTATATATATAAAAGCCATATATGTTCTTTCTATAGAGTATAGACCAATGAATTAGCGGTTGCAATTCTTGTCTATTATAATTAAATGATACCAAAAAATTTATTCACAAACTTTAGGTTAAGAAGTACTCATAATCTCTATTCAGGAAAGAATGAAAGTATATGATTACCATTTACCAGAGTACACCTCAGGTTATTCATATTATGAACCTATATAAGACTTGTAACACCCCGTATATATCCGGTAATGTTATCATACTATCGTATTAAGCAGCGCTTAATTAAAAATGCGGAATATCTTTTTCTTTTCAATTATGATGTCATTATCATTACCAACTTGCTTATTAATCAATTAATAAAACATCGCATGTATGTAATTGCAATAAAACAGCTAACTGATATACCTCATAACATAGATAATAAAAGTGTGGCTCTAGTCACGGAACTACAACAACGTAGACCGGACCATCTAACAGTTTATACAACTTCAATCTAAAAGTACTACACAAAGTGTCATGGACAATCCCCATGCTCACTCAAATAAGGCAACACGCCCAACATCAGTCTCAACAACAACAACAACATAAATAGCGGAAAACATAAACAGCATCCAAAACCAGTCTTGGCAGCAATACAACATAATATCAATATCAGCTAAGCTCTGGCCTCCTGCCGCCAGAGGCATCAGTCACCATACTACCTGAACCTGAAATAAGCATTCCCCAAAAGTGGGGTGAGATCTCTAAACAAGAAATCTCAGTAAGACAAGGGATCCTCAAGGATCTTCCACCCCAAGCTCACTTACATGTGCAATATAAGTTCAAAAGCAGTTTATCATCATCAGTTCTAAATCAGTGCAATGCAGTAGATAATCATGTCATGTGTGTCAATTCTATTCTACTGGCAAGAGAAATGCAGGATTTATATACGTCTAATACCCACAAATAGTGCAAGACGCTACTTGCATCCACCCCGGATCACCGTCTTGTATGACGCTACATACTCAGGCTTACCGTCAAGATAGAACAACACATGCATATTAAAAGCCATTACACATAAAGCTCAACAGCATTTCAAATACTCAAAGCATGTAACACAGCATGCATATAACCACACCCCCATGGGACATGGTGGAACCACAGTATGGCTAAACCGAGGACACGAAAGCTTACCTTGCAAGCTAACACCCAAAACCAAGAGTCCACAACTCAAAGTCTAAACACAGCAGATTCACAATCTGTTATGGACCAATACTATATCAATAATAATGCACCACAAGCATATAACTTAAAGACAACGCCTTTCCTTTACGTTTTACGTCTTAAGGCTCCATACCAAGCCATAAGCCCTTAATCACTTGATTCTGACTTAGTTCATTAATTACAGAAGTTCAACTTAATCAAACTAGGGTCCACAAACCCCCAATAGCCTACTGTACACACAACACAGCTACAGTTCTTCGAAATCCCAGAATATCCGGATATTCCTCGGGACCATATCCGGATATGCAATATCCGGATATCTCACTGTACATATCCGGATATACAATATCCGAATATCCAGATTCCCATATCCGGATATCCAATATCCGAATATCCAAATCCCATATCCGGATATCACATATCCGGATATTTCTCGGGCAGATATCTGGATATTTCACGACAGAATGCAGAAACTGCATTTCGTGAAGATATCCTTCCAAGGTTCCATTTTTAACACTTTCAAACGTTAAAACATGCATCTTTATACTGTTTTAGGGTCATACCACTGTTGGTTACTTGTTTAACTCTTTAAACATACCAAGACACCTCTTTTACTCATCAAAACACATGATCAAAGTTGGTACAACTCACCAAAGCTCAAAACAGAGGAAGAAAGGCTCTTGGAGCTCTCAAATCTGCCTCTACAGGTCTGACCTTTAAGGCACACGAAAAAGACTTCACAAAGGTTGGTTCTTGCACCAAAAGGTGAATCCTTGGCACCAAAAATGCCAAGCCAAAGGTATACTCCCTCCACAAACACAAAGGCAGCAACCACAACCCCTCACACAGCAGCTCCAACTCAGCAAGAAGGTCTCCCACCCATTCCCAAGGCTCTATCTCACTCACACAATGATGATTGGTGAAGGAAATGTGAAGAAAAGCTACAAGGAAGGTCAAGAAATGGTGGAGAAGGCAGAGAGCAGCAGCCACCAGCAGCCACTCGCGTCGAAATAGCTGAGTATCAGCCTAGGTTTTAGTGTCAAGCACTATATATAGGTGGTTTAAGTCACTAACACACAGTATTAACTTTAATTGCTACCCTTAGC